AAAATTTGTTGGCTTCTGGGGGCAACGACAACTTGCTGTGTCTTTGGGATTTGCGTTTTGCTGCTGCTGGCCGCATGCAGCAGCAGCAGCAGCAGCAGCAGCAGCTGCAGCAGCAGCAGCAGCTGCAGCAGCAGCTGCTGCAGCAGCAAATTACAGCAGCAGCTGCTGCAAGTGCAGGCGCTGATGCTGGAGGGACAGCAGATACACAAATCAGAAACAGAAGAACACTCTCGCTGCTTTCTCCTGCTGCTGCTGCTGCTGCTGCTGCTGCTGCTGGTGGTTCTGCTGCTGCAGCAGCAGCAGGAGTGGGATCTTCTTTATGGGGTTCTTACTACTACCGGCTGCAGCAGCAGCAGCAGCAGCAGAACTTGCTGCAGATACAACAGCAGCAGCAGCAGCAGTTGCTGCAGCAGCAGCAGCGCCGTCTGCTGCACTCCGAATCTCCCGTTTCCTCTCCCCCAACCGCAGCAGCAGCAGCAGCAGCAGCAGGAGCAGCAGCAGGAGGTGAGCGTGTGCAGCAGCGAAGAGAAACAGCACCAGCACCAGCACCAGCACCAGCAGCAGCAGCAGCAGCAGCAGCAACAGCAACAAATATATCTTCTCCTCTTTTTGTTTATAATGAACATAAAGCAGCAGTAAAAGCAGTAAAATTTTGCCCCCAACAAAACGGGCTGCTCGCTAGCGGAGGAGGAACAGCAGACAGACATATACGCTTCTGGAACGCTAACCTGTAAACCCTAAACCCTAAACCCTNATATAAAACCCTAAATACTAGATTGTAAACAATGAGGGGTATTAAGAAAGAGTGGAGGAGGAACAGCAGATAGACATATATGCTTCTGCAACGCTAACCTGTAAACCCTAAACCCTAAACCCTAAACCCTAAACCCTAAACCCTAGAAAATATAAAATATATAATATAAAATATAAAACTCTAAATACTATATTGTGAAGAATGAAGAGTAATTATATATGTATATTTATTTATTTATTTATTTATTTATTTATTTATTTATTTATTTATTTATTTATTTATTTTTATAGGGGTACAGAGAGGAGTTTATGTTCTATAGATACGGGGAGCCAGGTGTGTAATATATTATTTTCTTCTTTTTCTTCTTCTTTTGTTAGTACGCATGGTTTCTCTCTGAATCAAATATTTATATGGAAATATAATTTACCTCTTCTCTTGTCTTCGTCGTCATCTGCTGCTGCTGCTGCTGCAGCAGGAACTGCACCAGCAGCACCACCAGCAGCAGCAGCAGCAGCAGCAGCAGCAGCAGCAGCGCCAACTGCAGCAGCAGCAGCAACAGCAGCAACTATTTCTTCTCCGCTTGAATGTCTTTATCAACAACCCCACGACCCCCATACACCCCACGCCCTACCAGTTGCACGCACAGTAACACTAACAGGTATGTTTTTAGGGTTTAGGGTTTAGGGTTTGAGGGTTTTAGGGTCTAGGGTTTGAGGGTTTTAGGGTTTAGGGTTTGGTGTTATTATCTATTTTTTTTTTTTTTTTTTTTTTTTTTTTTTTTTTTTTTTTTTTTT